TTGGGATGTCATAAACAATTTGAAATTCCCTAAAGGGATCAAATATCGTACATAGATCGTAGTTCCACACCCGACCCCGAGGCAACGAATTTACTACAAGCACAAAACGGTCTCGACAATGTAGTTTAATTATTATCTACTAGCGACCCGCCCCGGCTTCACCTGGGCAGGATCTATTAATGTGCCGCTATTTAGATTTAATATAGTCATTAAAGACCAATTTTATTGGAACGAAGTTCCTTATCGGATGGTAATAATTTGGCGAATGGGGGCTAGGCGAGAAAAGTGTAAGATTTTTCCGTCACGGCCCATTCTGACGTAGTGTAGACAGTGTTGGCGGCTATAAGGAAGCGAGATGGAATAATATCGATCTGCCTCGCTTACCTTGCCACGAAAGAAATATTATTGGAACGAAGTTCTTTATCGGACGGTACTAATTTGGCGGATGGGGGCTAGGTGACAAAAAGTGTAAGATTTTTCCGTCACGACCCCTTCTGATGTAGTTTAGATGGCCTTGGCGGCTATAAGTAAGCAAGATGGAATAATATCCATCTCCCTCGCACTTTTTTATATCTTGCCAGGAAAGAAATATTATTTTATTTTAAATGATGCTTCATTTTAATAGACGTAGTAATCTAGTAATTCATTTATTTGAATTTGTTAATCAATAATATCATACATTTATCAATAATAATATACTATAAAAGGAACTTCGTTCCAACCGAGTGTTCCACGACACTCACGCATGTTTTTTTTATTTTAAATGACACTTAATTTTAATAGACGCTAGTAATTTATTTAGTTGGATTTGTTAATCAATAATATAATACGTTTATCAATAATAATATACTACGAAAGGAACTTCGTTCCAACCGAGTGTTCCACGACACTCACGCATGTTTTTCTTATTAATTTTTCGATTACTCAAAAAAATTATTTTTCGAATACAATATGTTACAATCCGTTCAGCTATCTGAAATTTAGCCCGGATAGACAGACAAAAGAGATAATAAGTCCCCTCTAATCCCCTCGACGCAATAAGAGGCAATAACTTCCATATTACATACAAACACTTCAATTTTATTTATATGTATATATTTTATATGCCCTAATAATTGGAATGGCTGAACCGATTTTGATGAAACTTTACGAACAGACGGAGAGCAATACCAGGAGGGATCTAGGCTATATTTCATCCGAAAAAATTGACATTCATAGATCCTATCCAGACGAAAGATGGAGTGACGACGAGTGGCTCAGGACCGTGCTTTGTGGCATTCCTTGGGCCATAATGATATGGGCTGTAATGATAATGATAATGATGATCCAGACGAACCCGAGGCGGATAGCTAGTCATTAATGCATTCACTATTAAAATTAAGATGAAGAAAAGAGCTTTTATAGATAATAGTAAATCCAAGACAATATATTTATGAAATTTCTTCGAAATGTAAATCAGACGTCCGCGTACTTATAACAACTATACGAAGAATAATTTCAATATTTTCTAAGTTTATCAAGCGGCATCCTCGTGTCTTTGAGTGAAGTGTAGGTCAGCCCCAACCCATCTAGCAGACTGCCATTAGAAAGTCAATTTACTGCATGAGCTTTCTCAAAGCCACTTTTAATGGCACGTTGTAGTGATATATACAAATCAAAATAAAAGCTTAATCTATTTTTGTACTTGTAATGCACTCACAACTCACTATTTTGTATTTGCAATGTATCTACTAATAACGATATGACGTTTATGACCTCTATGCCTAGGATCCTGGTTCCAAATCGAAGACGAATCTAAATTTCCAGTATCAGATTAAGACAATTTTATACCCTAAGTAATTCACGTCTGTCCTCTACCTTCTTAATTCAATATATTAGAATGAGATCAATAATTACGTATTTTCTTAGAATATATACGAAAGATATTTTTTATGAGACGGACAAACGAGCATGCGGCTCACCTGTGACTACCACCGCAAATGATTTGCAACAACAGCGGAATGCAGATGTGTTGCCGGTCTTTTAAAAAAGAGTAGGCTCTTTTCTTGAAGGTTCCTAAACCGTATCGGCCCGGAAAAGTCCTAGATTCCACAAGAAAGTTGTGCGAGAGAAAAAAAACTTCTTGTAAATCGCACAATGGTGGACAGTCAATCATCTAGATGGTATGGATGGTATCTCGAGCTTTGTCGCGATGTGCGATGATGAAATTGAGCGACTGGGATTAGAACTTCTGAACCGAATAATTCCTCTCAGCACTCTCCGTGGTAGATGCGGTAGAATACGCAAAGAGATGCAACATCTCTTCGCAGCGCCAGTAAATCAATCCGATTAGAAAGACCTCGGTCGCCGAAGATTTGAACCGCTCTGCGCTTTATGCGATCAAATGGAAGAAGCTGGCTCTGGGGAGGCCCGGCCCAGAGATCGGAACAATATTCTATGTGCGGCCAAACCTGTGCTGTATAAAGTTGCAGGGGTTAATATATAGAAGAGCTATTATTATCTACTTTGCTCAAAGTTGCTTGCATGAAATAAAAGCCCATCGACTGCTGCAAACATTACCGTCAAGTGGGCTATTAGCGTTTTTTTTTTGCATCTTCCATATTATAAAAAAGGAACAGCAGAACTGACATAGCACAAAAGATTAGGTAGCTTAAATGGAGGGTCATATATCTCATAGAAGTGACAACCGTCGGGGAAAGTAAAATAAAGAGTTGCAGCCTCATACTAGCCGGCAAACACAATTGAAAATCTAACCCCACTATATGGAGTGACGACCATTTAGAGCATAAGACCGTACCGTATCGTATCATGACCTGACAAGAGAAGTTGCTCTCTGTTCGTACAATATTTTGCCAAACGGGTAACGCTATTGTTTTAACTAAGCTATAAAAAGTTTACTTGACCTAAAGTATACAGAAACAGAAGATAAGCATCCATAATAAGCTGATATTCTGTAAAAAAAAAAACATACCAACACAATACACGCACGTGTATTATGTTGGTATGTTTTTTTACAGAATGTGAATTGTGTCAAAATATGTTTTTACTAAAATATATAATGGAGAGAAAACTGGTGATTCAATTACATAATTTCTCGGAAAGCCCATAAGATGGAAGCTTCAAAAGGAGCGCCTTATGCCAAACCCGATCGAATGCCTTCGCTATGACCAAACTAACCGCCAAGGCCACCCACTTAGACTTGTACGTCTGCCCCATCAGTGTTCTAGGTAAACAAGAATATCACCAGCTGAGCGACTGAAACTGTACTAGCTGTCACTAATCAGCTTGTTCTCCTCAAGGTACCGCATGATCAGGCAATTCATAATGGATTCCATTATTATTGTGAACATGGAGCTGATAGAGGTAAGCCTTTAGTTAGACGGATCAGAGCGTTTACCCTTTTTAGGAGTCGGGCGCACGAAATTTGGCTTTCATGAATTCGCGACTACGCCTAGGAAGTAGGAGTACCGAAAAAGACGCGTTAGAACCTTTGCCAACTCTCAAGCCTACGTCCTCAGCAAAATTCTGGGGGACTCCATCAGGCAAAATCAAGTTATTCATTTTTAGTTTTTTAAAGTAATTGTAAACATTTATTAAAATAATTTTGGGAGTAGTTGCTAACGTCGGAAGTAGGGTAAAATCCCTGCTATTGCTCACATGTAGTCTAGAAGCAAAAGCATTAGAAAGAAATTTAAATTTTGAAAGATTGTGATACATCTAACGTTTGTTTTGTTAAATGTAATAACGAAAATCAAAAATTATATAACACGTCTTGTACACACGTATCACACACAACGTGATGTATTCAAGTTGACATTGTGTTCTCTGTCATGTTAGATGGGTTAATCTTTCTAAGTGTTCTATGGTCATGTACGTATCAAGTGTGATTCTTTACCACGGAATATTCCACGCGAGCCATTTCCATATTGAAAATGTGACAATTCATTCGGATTTTTTCGTGTTGACATCAGTGTAGAGTGCGATTCACTACCACGGCAGATGGAATGTTTTGCTGGAGCCCCTCCTACATATATATTGTCATGGGGATGTATTCTTTACAGCAGGTAGATTATTCATTCGAAGTTTTCTGGCTTGTTGGTATCGATTGTGTTCCTCTATCGAAGAAATACAAGATTTTGCATATTTTATACACAGTTAATGCTTAATTGTTGCAATATCTTCGTAAGTGTCTATAATATTTGGTAATACTCCATAAAATTGCCCATGAACTTAAATTTTCCTTCTTGGCTTTCCCGTACAACAAATTAACAAAATACCTAAATAGATCACCTTTGACATGCTATAATGAGTTAATGCGATGCAAAAATGCTTCAATAATAGATTTTAATATTTATTATCTATTTAAGTTGTATTAAGAAGTCCATGTAATTGCTTTTCTGAGATTATACATCGGAATAAAGAACTGGCTAAATTTTTTGGCGCCTAATGCCGCGGTATTTTTAAAACGTATTTTCGCCTTCATTTATTCAGAAAAACACACAAAAATTCAGTTCATTTAATTAAAAATATAATCCTTGCATAATGTGTTCAACGCAAATAAGTACACACTATACAGAAATAACGAGAAAAGCACTATTTAAAAACAAGGTACAAAAAGAATGAAGCATTCATTCTGAAGAACTGATGACGCAAGTTTAACCGATAATTTAAAACAATTATACATTACACCACCCTTTGATGATATAACCACGAATAGATAATATATTATAAATTAAATTAAAGATCTTGCAGAAAACAGAGTTTGTAAATTGCTTGTAAATGTAGTTTTTCTAAATACCCCGGAATATGATGCTAATTTCATAACCACTCTTAATAAAATGCCTTTACCTTAATTAAAATAGAGATAGGAAAACATAAGCACTTATTTTATATTATATTTATGCTTCATTAATTATATTTAACTCAACTTTACATAAAATAGAAACAAAATTTCACGAAACGTCTTAAATTTATCTCCTCGGCGACTTCTAATACGTTACCTCGTAGCATGGAGTAGACGCGATGCCGCCGCCTCCGCCCGATTTATTCAATAAACACGTAGTCTACTGTCACAAATCATTTTAAATTATAACTCACTGTTGATTTCAATTATTTTACTGTGTGATATTAACAACAGACCTTAAAGTTTGTCGGCGGCGACCCTTTCACGTGCACATTATATAGCAACACGCGTGTACCGCAAAAGACGTACACATATATATGTTATCATGTGCACTTAGAACGGCTTCAGCGTATAACACGGAATGACAGTCGTATAGCGGGCGCGCGCTCTATGCCCGTCGGCAGACTGGACTGTAGGGCTTCTCTGGAGCTGGGGCGGCGCGCCCACGCTCGATACCGCCGCCCCCTAGCGCCCTCCCACATTGCAAAAACCATTGAAAAAATCTAGTGTTTACTGCCAAAATACTATTCGGATATAGTTTATAAGAATCATTAAAGGACATATAAGGATTTTTATATCTAAATATTATTTTGAATTAAGCTATAGTTAAACACAAATAGATTTCAAAAGTACGTAGGTAATGAATAAAATTTTGGGCAGACATAATTTGTAAGCTTCATTTACGAGTGCCATTCTTCTAAATCATTCAAGATAACTTCCATGCGCGAATTTTCCTCTTTTATTTCAGTAAAACAATGCCTTCGACAAGTCCAGCTACAGCAGCGTATTCACATAACCTGGCAGGTTGTAAAGAGTAGGTTTCTGAAAGGATATATTTCATGCGCTCGAACATCGAGATTACACGTGTTACAAATTTTATTTTCTCACGTGTGATTAATTTACTACTGTTTTATGCTCTTTTATGGGCAATTATTTTAACAACTTTTTTTATTAAATTAAACCGCGTTTTAACACTCGTCTTTGAGTTTACTTTATTAGTAGTTGTAAAAGGAATTGTACAATGAGCCGCCAAAACTACCGAGCCCAAAGCAGCATCATATTTGTAAGGATATCGGTCTGTGCTTAGCGTCCCGTCCGCCCATTGTTATGGTAACTTTTTAAAAAAGCGTGTAGTTAATACAATCTTGGAAAGTTCCCGCAATATATTGTATGTAAGTGACTCTTACATAGAATATATTTTCTGAAAGTGTTAACAAAACTTTAAAAACCAGCCAATTGCGTGTCGGGCTACGTACAATGTAGGGTTCCGCAGATGCCCGTCACAATACATTAACTTAGAAGGGGACTTCTTGCTACTATGAGCATATTAAGTGAGTTCTCGGTTTGACTGCAACAACTACTAAAAATGGGCCCCAAAGAGGACGATGGTAACTGAAGGGCTTATTTTACAAGCAGTTTATAGGGAATGGTATGCAATAAATATTCAATTGAAAATAACACAATCTACATACATATACGTGGTAGAACCATGCTGCAGCTATATTAATAGTATAGTTGTAGCACGAATGGGTCAGCTCGACCACGAAGGCCCACGCTCTCACAGAATACCAGCGTAAAATAGCACCTTAATGCTGCTGTGTTTCGTATGGTGAGTGTAGAGAACCGGAGACCCTTTTTACTGGAAAAGATGCATTCTATCTTAGTCCTCACGGCTGACAACGAATCTGCATTTAAATATAGATGCCTATGGGCCATAGCCCTAATTAGTTGGTATGTTATTCATTTTACATAGGAAACAGAAAATATTTGTTAATATATCTATTAGCACATAATGATAATAATATAATAATGGTTGGTTTTTATTTATGTACTAGCTGTTCCCCGCGACTTGGCCCGCGGGTTAGGATTTTTATGTTTTGCGTGGAACCCTAATTCTTTTTCTAAAATAAAAGTAGCCTAAGTAACTCCTTAAGAAATCAGCTATCTACCAGTGAAAATCCCGTCAAAATCGGTTCAGCCGTTTTGGAGATTAGCCGGAACAAACAGACAGACAGACAGACAAAAAATTTTAAAATTGTATTTTAGTTATAAGTACGGTATTTACTTTCATAATTATGCATTTAGTAAAAAACTGTAATTTAGACATTACAAACAGACACTTCAAATTTATTTATTTGTATAGATGTATTTCTTAAATATTTATTTTATGTTATTAATATTTATGTATATTTATCATTTTCATATATATATTTAAACAGCCCAACCAGAGAAAACTATATGAATACCCCGAATATAACAATTTATTATTATATTATATTATATGTATATACATGTGTTACGGCCTACAGCTGCCCCTGCAAAGGTCGTCTTGGCTGGGGCCCATAGCAGCTTCCTCGACGGACAGACGCAGGTCGGGCCATATGGAAGAATTTCCTATAAAACTAAGCTATATGGTAGAAGGTTAGGGAAATATAGTACGAACCTGTTTGCCGACTCTTAGATCGCCCCAAGGCTCGGTCAGGCCGTAAGTGGGTGTGAGGTGCATGGCAAGTAGTGTTTAGTGATGTGTGAATGTCTGAGACCTGGACTAGCTTAGGCGACCAGCAGCGGCCGAGTTCCAGGCTACCCCAAAATGCTGCATCGCTCCAGCAGGCTCCACCGCTGGACTATTTCTTTCTTCATTGTCACTATTTCAGTCTATTAGCTTCATTGTACATTTAACTAACTTATACTCGCCTAATTCCACATTCATCGTGGAATTGAACACGTGATACCCGACCAAGTAAGGACAGTAGTTCAAAATTCGACATTCAATGTCCCGGATTCACTTATCACAAAATTATAAATAGGGAATTAAGGCGATCTCTTAATGAGTCATACGGTTCAGCGTTAAACACTACTAAGTTCCTTCTTTCGACATCAAAACACCACGTTGCGAAAAGAATTCAAAATACGCCTCGTTGACACGTAAACTAACAAGCCAACCAACACACAAATAAGGGCACTTAACGCGACGGCACAATTATAATGATTTCCTGACAATCAACCGGGAGAAACTCTCGAACAAGGAATGCTCGGTTCGAATCCTAGACCGTATATCTATTCGACGCGCGCGTGCACAATTCCGCATCCCCGAACAAGTTAAATATTGCAAAATTCACATATCCACTTAAGGAAATAACACGCACTTAATCTAACTATCTGGACCCTACAACGGTCGCGTGAACTTCGGCCGCGATAACGAGCTACGCGGGTTCCCCGCATAGCGGCCAGTGGGCAACTACCATTCCTTCGCCCACGCGTCGAGCCACACAAACCGCACACCGCCGCTCCACGTGGCGGCGTTTTTTCACCTACATACTATCGGGTGACGCGACAGCTCGAACGCAGTTGGATGGCGTTCAACATGACCAATTTTGGGCATAAACAATATGCTTTATACGTGTTAGAGCCAAGCTGCAGCTAAATTTATAGTATAGTTGTAGCACGAATGGGTCGGCTCGAACGGGGAAGGACTACGCTCTCACAGAATATCAGCTAATAAATAGCAGCTTAATGCTGCTGTGTTTCATATGATGAGTCTAGAAAACCGTAGACCCTTTTTACTGGAAAAGAGGCATTCCATCTTAGTCCTCAAGGCAGACAACGTATCTGCATTTTGGTTTTTTTTTTATAGGATAAGGGTGACAAACGAGCACACAGTCCACCTGATGGTAAGTGGTTGCTGTGGCCCATTGACATCTACATCTATCTTCGATTACGAATCAAAATGCAGATGCGTTGTCACCCGTGAGGACTAAGATGAAATGCCTCGTTTCCAGTAAAAAGGGTCTCCGGCTCTCTACACTCACCACACGAAACACAGCAGCGTTAAGCTGCTATTTTACGCTGGTATTCTGAGAGAGCGTGGTCCTTCCCCGTTCGAGCCGACCCATTCGTGCTACAACCATAATATATTCGCAAACGAGGATAGATGTAGATGTCTATTGGCCTCTGCAACCACTTACCATCAGGTGGACTGTGTGCTCGTTTGTCACCCTAATTCTATAAAAAAGAAACATCAAATCATTCACATGCTAAGTCCGTACAAAAATTGTCATAGTTCCCTACACATCTATTAGTTCCCGGCAGTGCAACCATAAGATATACATAACATAATGAACTTTCCCCTAAACCAGCATTGCCCTAAGCTATCCTGAGAGTCGCCCAAGTAAACTAAAAATACCACGAATGAAACTGTAGCCCTACAATAACTACTAACTAAAAATTAAGCGATAGCGGTATGACAGGATCGGTCTCTCTGTTATCAATCCTCTCTGCTTACCCCTCGTAAAGCTTAGTAATTACAATAATAATTAGCGTAGGAAAGTGACGACCCCATCGCCCGCTGACGTATCAGCACGTAAGCGCAGTCAGTCAGTGCCTTGCCAAGAGGTGTGAGCGTCGTGCATGAGCAGAATTCAAGGTGCAAAGGCTCATTTGTGCTTATGGCCGCACAAGAAACGGTGCCGGGCTTGGGCGTCTCCCGTTAATAGACGCCCATTTCATGAATGATGGACAAAAAAAAGAGTGCGCAAAGCGCCGCTGCCTGAAGGTCGCCAGGACGCGTCTGAAGCTGGCGCTGGACGCGACAGCATATGGGCCGCCAGTCGAGCGCAAGGGGCTGTAAGACCACCTAGCAGCCCCCCGCATCCATCATCCCCACGAGAAGGGTTGGTGTCGGCTGGGTCTTCTCAGACTCAGCAAGCGGCACCCGCCGCTGGTGGGGTACGTCGGATGCGTTGGACAACATTGCGCACGTAATAACGCATTGCGGACGTATTTTAGGGCAAAAGCGGAAAGAAACTGGAAGGTTGGCGTATTGGGCTCGGATACATCGTTGTTTTGCAGAGCCCTTTTAGAGCAGAGTTTTGATGGAGCTCTCTCTAAATGTCACTGAGCAAGCAGACCTGGCAAGCAGAGTTCAGTACATCCTACGCTCCAACATATATGATGACGCTGAGCTCGAACGACTAAGACGTGAGGCTGTTCCCTGGTCGGATGAAAATGCTACTGCTGGGAATGCGGTACCACTAATTACAGAGCAACCTGCACACGTGGATGCTGCCGTGGATGTTCCAATTGTAGTTGATTCTGACAATGATAAAATAGTTACCCACGAACTAAAGCAAATGAGGAGCATATTGGAAGAGGCGATTTTGGAAACGCGTAGTACGCCTGTCGGCGCATGTCGCTGCACCTCGGCCAAAATGGAGGACCCGTGGGGGCGCGGACCGGTCGCTGGCCCTGCGACAGCGCGGGCGCTTCTGTTCCTCACTCAGCTGCGAGACGCAATAGCAGACGGGCACTTCATTCTTCAATTTATATTATGTTTATTTAGAGGTTTTACGGCATTCAAACTATTGTCAATAGAGTCCACTTATTTTATTTTGTAAAGTCCCGATAA